CCTCTTGCCTGCATGGGAGGGAAGGTCACCCAGATGTACAAGGTCCAGACAGGGGAAATAGTGAACATACTGAAGTGTGTGTACTGGAAATTGTGTAATAGCACGTGGCAGGGGATTTTTTGTAATAGGATCAAGTTCAACTACCTGCAGCCAAAAGTGGTAAATATAGAACAGTTCAAAGACCAATTTCCTTCTTTTTCAGTTTGTTCTTACTCCCAAAGTCAAAAAGAAAGATAGGTAAAAAAGAGAATGACTGTTTGCTTCTTAAAAGAATGGAAACAGTATTGTTTGAAAAAGTAGTTAAGCAAGGTCTGTATGCAGCATATGTCTCCCTAAAACCTCTGTGCTCTGTGCCTGCTGCAATGTGTGTGAGCTGGTCTAAGGCGTGCAGGTCTATGTGAACCTGTCATGGAGACAATTAAGAGTGTCAAAAACCTGGCTGTGCTGCAACTTGACTTTTCCAAGTGGTAGATTTCTGGGGTGTTACTTTGTTTCAAGCTCTCATCTTCAGTACTTGGCAGTTCCTTTGACCTTACAGAGGTCCTTCATGCCAACCCCTGTGCCTCCTCTACCAGTTCCTCCTACGTGGCCTTCTTTCTGTGGTTGTTCAGCTCCTGGGCCCTTCTGCAGGCTGAGGAAAGCAAAACCATCCTTTGTTGCCCTAGAAAGCAGCACTAGGGTAATACAGTTCACTGTCTTTGTACAAAACCCAGCTTGTTTGCTTGCAAATGTAAGCAAACAAGAAAGCTGTTCTTTCAAAGTTAATGAGAAACTTGAACGTGGGGCCCAGAGCAGTTTTCCCCAAGGGTAACACCCTGCTCCGATCTGTGGAGTTTTAAAGTTGGACGGGAGCTCTCTTTACTGGCTGGAGAGACTGTTAGGGCCAACACAAGTAATCAACACACTTCTTGTGGCTATATGCAATGAGGCGTTGTTTTGTTGAAGAGGGTAAAGGTACCTGACAGACTGGATTTTGCCATCTGAAATCAAACTTGGTTGTGCAGCCAAACAGTATCCTTAAATAAATTAAACTATCTTGCGGGAGGGAAAAGAAAACCAAGCAAAAGGGAACAAGTGACTCTAGATAAACCATCTTTTGCAAAGGCAAACGTCTGACATGTTCTAGCCTGGATTTTCGTAGGAGCTGGAGCTCCTACGAAACAATGGCAGTATCACCTTCTTACTGGGTAGATAGGGACAGGAGTTGGCCCCTGTAAGGGGAATGTCTTTGCAATAGAGGGGTAAATAGGTACCTGCCTATTGCATCTCCCTGGTGGTAAGGTAAAGCCAAGCGTCTTCTCACGCTCCCAGCGGTGTATATCATGGTGTAGCCATGCCTAGGGTGGGGCGGCTCTCTTAGAGCCGCTCCTGCCAGCACTCTGTTCCTTGCAGCCACCCTTTGCTGCCCCACGAAAGAGAAAAGAGGGAGGTTGGGGATGGAGCATCTGCCATAGCAGCTTTTTCCCAGTCAGCCTCCAATCTCTGGTTCCCACGCTGGAAGCGGACACGCTACAGCCTGCAAGCCTCGGACCTGCCGGACGGCATATCTCTCCCATGCAGCTGTGAGCAGCTGCGCAGGGAGGTGTCCCGCTGCTGCGGGGCGAGGGCTGCGTGCTGGCTGAGCTCACTGAGCTGCTGGCACTCTTCCCAGCTCTGCGACACCAGCTGAGCATCCTGCAGCAGAAAATAGAGGGAGCTGAGCTAGGGAAGGAGGAGGAGGGTGCCATCTTACAGTGCATCCCCACCCACACACAGCAGGGAGTCGGAATGGGAGGCGGCGGCAGAAGCTTTAATATCAATGCAAATAAAAGCTCTAGAGTGTTATTAATGTGGTAGAACCTTTCCAGGGAAATGGTTTAGAGGAGGCAGAATAGTTCCCAGATGCTCAGTGTTGAGCTAGCTGTGAATAAGATTCATCAAGCCGGTTAATGGCCTATTGCTCCCTCTGTTATGTGAACGGGAAGCACACAGGAAAATTTGTTTGGATGAGTACAAGCTAATGCAAACCGATACAGCCTCTGCTGTATCAGCAAGTCTTTACTTCTTCAGTGTAGAAAGCAAGAACAGCTAATATCAGCATTATACGTGGATCAGGAGAGGGGAGGACTGCAAATGTGGACCAAGAAAGTGTGTTTGCTCAGGACACTAACCAATTCCTTGCCTCTGAAATGAGATAGCAGTAACAAACCTGACTGCCAACGGACAAAGACAGGCTGTAAAACTTGCTCAAGCAAACAAGGCTTGAAATGCTGAAAAAGCTGTGAATGCTGAAAATGCTGGAAAAGCCAGGGGAGGAGGGCCCTAAAAACCTTCAAGAATCTCTGTCTCTGGTTTCTTTTTCATGACTGGCTTCCATTTTGGTATTGCCAATGACCGTTGGCACCTACAACACTGACGGGCTCCTGAATGCCTTGGGTAAGAGACTGGTTATTGTAGAACGGGTGCACAGCAGCAGCACCCTGAAGAACTCACAAAAGAAAAGTTACAGCAAAAGGAAGTTTTTCATTTTGAGACAAGAAGACTCATCAATTCAATTAAAAACGAGGGGTGTAAAAGGCAGCAGGCTGCCTAATGCCTGCTTACAGCTCAAAATGTGGAACTCCAGCCAAGTCAGGCTGAAGGTTTAGTAGGTTTGAGACAGATTAAAGGTTTGCATATCTATCCATAGTTACATTAAATAGGATTAACAGTGCCAACCACTAACTGGTGGGGGCAGGGGAAATACAAAGCATGAAGTTTGCTCCTCAGCTCTCTACAGGGTTACATGCACCTTTTCCTGAACAAATAAGCTGTTGGCAGGGCTAACCAGTAATCAAGCCAAGCTGGTCTGTCCCGAGCTGTGCCATTTGAGTGCCAACAAGCTCGTCTGTCTCCTTTAATGGGAGGTAAAGACTCGGTCTCTTTCTCTGACCATCCACATGCTCCGATGGAGATGCAGAGGAGTTACAGAACTAGGAGATTCTCTGCCCTATATAAATAAGCTGACGCATCTGCTGCCCTTGGAACTTGCTCCCTGCCTTTTTCAAAAGGGTGTGTACGTGTAAAAGAGAGGAAAAGAGCAGCTGAAGGAGAAATGAGAGGCGGCTAGCCATTACTTGGGGAACACGCACCTATGTAATAGGGAAATTGGAGCTTGTGGGTAGAGCTAGCTTCATTCAGTGGCTTGTGACACTGCGTGAGTGCGCTGAAAATAATGCAAAGACAGCATACTTGGGATACCTGAGCAGCCAAAATAGTGTTGCCTAGGTCAGGGGACCTAAATCCTCTGTTAATTCACAAGGCCCAACTAAACAGCCTGGAGCATTGCAATGAGAAAGTCAGCAAAGATAAGCTTTTTCAGCCCAGCGAGAGATGCTCATGGTAAGACCCCAACACTGTGCTTGCACTGGAAATGAAGTGTAACAGGAGTGTGTGTGCTGGACCGCATGGCAAGGCTGTGAATACATCAGGAGGACGGAGGAAGGTAGGTTGTCTCCAGAAGCTACTCAAACGGTATTAATTAAAAAATGAGTATGCACAAGGTGGAAATTAGGCATAGAGGAAGGACAATATAGATCCTGTTGTTTCTGAAGGCCTAAGCCTATGGAAAGATAAAGAAAATGTGTTATTCTGACCAAAAATGTATAGATTTCCCACCCCAAAAATCTTTCTGAATTAT